ATGAAAGGTTGGGGGCGGGGCACTGATGTTATTGACAACACAGACGCAAGGGAAGGGTGGTGGTGTCAAAAAAGAGATGTGAGTTTGGAGAGGTTGGCATCAGGACGCCATATGCGCAGAGAAGCGCTGCTGGTGTGTGGGGGTGTATGAGGGTTGGGAGGATGGAGCTGCCAGAGTCTGAGAGATAGCTGCAGGAGAGATTGTGGGCAGGGTTTGGGGGAATTTGGCAGGAGTGTGTTTGACTCCTGCTCCTAGTAGGGTCCCGAGGTAGGCCAGAAGGATGGGGGTGCAATGTGGCATGCTTTTGGCAGGACTGGGTGTGTAGCTGAGCTCAGCAGGCAGTGTTGCTGGGGACGGGTGGGGGGTGCTGTGGTTGGGAGGGGAGCCTTACTGACCTATGGTGGGGACCTGGGCCTTACCTTCTCCCCCCAGCCACCATGTTCAGCCAGCAGCAGTTGCTCCAGCTGCAGCAGTTGCTCCAGCAGGCACCCCCGCAGGCCCCATTGCCTGTGGCTGTCAGCCGGTGAGTTCCCCGTGGTGGGCACTGCCATCTCCAGCCTTCTTGCTCAGACCCATAACTTGGGGCCTCCCCATGCCTTCTGCCCCAGAGTATCCCTGTTGGATCCCACCCCCAGGGGATCCTCCATCTGCAGAGAATGGAGATGAGAGATCTCAGGGAAGAGGGATATCTCGCTTTCCCAATAACCCTCTGACGCCCCTCCCAACACAGGGGCCTCCCCCAGCAGCAGCCGCAGCAGCAACTTCTGAACCTCCAGGGCACCAACTCGGCCTCGCTCCTCAATGGACCTTTGCTCCAGAGGGCTTTGCTTTTGCAGCAGTTGCAAGGTATGGCTACAGATTCTTTCTCGGCCTATTGGTGCAGTGGGGCTCCTCGGCAGCCCTGCTGCACCAGATCTCATCACACCCACACAGTGACCCTGAGACGGAGCACTCAGGCACCTCAGTGTACAGATGAGGACACTGAGCTTCCAGGGGCTGGAAGTCCCGGCTGCATGCAGGTCTCTGATCGCAGAGGTGCACCCCCGGCCATGTCCTTGGCTCTTTGAGCAGTGCTTGGCACGTTTCACTCACATTCAGATCACGTGTCATTTGACAGATGAGGAAACCGAGAAGGAAAGCCATTTGCCCTGGGTCACACAGCGTCAGCAGTGACTAGCTAGACCAAAGCCTGGGCCCCAGTGGTTGTCTCTAGCCCTGTGCAGTAAGCCTATGCTTTTGCCTCAGTCCCCCTCTGTAGAGAGCAGTCTCAGCTCTTCCCTCTAAGATGCTGCTCTTGATTCTACCCAAGACACTAAGGGAGGTACACCCACAATCCTGCCTTACAGATGGGGACGCCAAGGTCACATGGTGACGGGCTGTTGGTTAGCTGATTGTTACTCTTCAGCCTTGCCAGGGCCACGTGGCTGTGGATGGTCCCTGGAGCTCCCTTTTTTAATTTTTTAAAATTTTATTTATTCATTTACTTATTTTATTTTGACCAGAGAGAGACATAGAGAGAGAGAGAGAGAAAGTGAGAAAACAAGCCACCAGGTCCAGGACTCGAACCATGGTCGGCCATGTGGGAATGTCCAGCACCTTAACCACCACGCCACTTGCTGGTCCCAACTTCCTTTCAAGTGATAGGTGGGTGGGGGAGAGAGAAAAACCTCCATAGGAACCCACAATATGTATTTATACATAAATGCGTACAAATACACTTAAGAGTAGACATCTGTATTTCCCTTTTTTCCTCTTCCATTTTGAAAAATACATTCTTCAGAATGAAAAATATAAATATTAAAAGAGGGGATAGAAAACCCCAAACTGCCATCTCTAGACTCATTCATCTTCTAGAGGAAACCACCAGTCAGTATTTTGGTGTATTTCTCCCCATTCAATTTCTAGTCACACACTTGGGAATTTGTATATGGTTATTATCGTTGCTATAAACAAGAGGTTGCATATTAATGTTTGTTTTTATTTTTTTATTGAATGCCACGGTCGTTTGCCATGTGATTTGACAGTCTCTGTCAAGATGATGGCTATTAAGTTTTTTAGGTTTTTGCCATAGGGCATGTGCACTCACTAGAAAGAAACAGAGGACAGAGAGAGGGAAATGAGAAACCACCCCCTTCCCCACGTTGGGAATAGCCATGGCTCCTTCTCCATTCTCCTTACCGCACCACCTGCTGGCCCCGAGATTATTCTTTCGAAGAATTACTTTATTTAACTTTATTTATTTATTTATTTAAATTAATTTGACCAGAGAGGGACAGAGCGGGAAAGAGAGAGAGAGAAAGTAAGAAGCCAAGCCGCCAGATCCAGGAATCAAACCATTGTCAGCCATGTGGGAATCCAGCACCCTTAACCACCATGCCGCCTGCTGGCCCCCAAGATGATTTTTAATAGCTATTTAGTATTCCACTGGAGGGGTGTACCCTTGTTTATATAAACCTTCTTAACCATTCAGCTGTTTCCTTTCGTTTTTTGATAAGTATGATGTTTGAGACTGTTTTCTTAGGATGGAGTGCAGAAAATGACTGAGTTGGGGGGACGGATGTTCTATGGCTCTTGATAAGTGTTGCCGAATTGCTTTTCTAAAGGACTGGACCAGTTTGTAATGCCACCAGCCCCATATGACAGTGCCGGTCTCACCATGCCCACAGCAACCTTGGGTAGTATATGCTTTTTTTTTTAATGTATGTATATATAAGTGTCTATTATTAAGTTCATTGGCAAAAAAGTCCCATCGTTCATGTTTTCATTTTCATTTCTTGGAGTGCTAGTATAGCTGAGTATTTTACATCTGCTTATTAGACATTTATGTTTCTTATGCAAACTTGTCCGTGTCCTTGTCCACTGTTCTTTAACGGTGTTTGTTTCATCTTTTGTCGTGTTGCTTTTAAGAACTGATTGGCACAAGTGTGTACGTGTGTTTGTTTTAAGTTGATGTCAATTGGATGCTTACTAAGCGCCAGGCACGTTCGTATACCTCACTGAACCCTCCTGAAATGCTGCGAGGCAAGCACTGTTGCCATCCCGGTTTGCAGTTGAAGGCAGTGGGGCTAAGCAGGGACACTGCTTTCCACAAGGTAGTCTGGATTCGAACCCAGCTCTTTCAGCACAACTCACCATGGCTTTGGTGCTCCCTGTCCCAGCGCCGGAGCAATGGTTCCATGCGCCTTTCATGCCTCAAACACCTCCCATGCTCTGGGCCTGCCCTGAGGTGAGGAGCTGATGAGGTAAAGCAGGAAACAGGGGAAGAACTGATGCAGTTGGTCCTAAGACATGGTCTCTGGGGCCTGTGGGACACAGGTAGTCTGGGAAGGCCTCCTGCAGGAGAGACACCCAGAAGGAGATCTGAAGGACCAGAGGGAGTCAGGGGACAGAATGGCCCAGGCAGAGGGAACAGCATGTGCGAAGGCCCGGGGGCAGGATGTTGGGAGGACCACGTAGGATGCGACTGGAATGCAGTGGGGGCCTACGTGGGAAGAATAACCAGAAAGGAGGCTGGGGAGGTGGCAGGGCCAGGCCCCTCTGAGGAATGGGCTTGGCTCCTGCCCAGCAGGGAGGTGTGGAAGGGTTGGAGCAGGAGTCGCAGTCAGGTCAGAAGTGACTTTAGAAAGACCACTGTGAGCGGTTACTACCAGGGTGCTGGTGATGGGGGGGACCAGAGTAGAATAAAGCTGGGAGAAAAGGGAGGAAGGGGAAGGGGAGGGGAGGGAAGGGAGAAAGGTCACTGCTGCCGTTCTGTGCAGGGAGATGAGGCTTTGGAAAGGAGGAAGTGAGTGGGGATGGAGAGGGAAAGGCAGACCAGACAGAAGAGGCGTGGGGACAGGGGTGACAGGAGCTGAGGAGGGTTTGGGGCATGGGGGAGTTAGGACCAGGGGAGGAAGGAGTCAGGAAGATTCCCAGAGTCCTGCCTGGGCCAGGGGTGGAAGGTGGTGCCCCTCCCAGGGACCCCGGGCCAGCTGTTCCCCTGCACCATGTCTGTTTCAGCATAGGGACAGGTGCTCTCCGGAGGCCTGCTGGGCCGGGACTAGTGCAGGGTGTGGACAGCGCTTAGCAGAGGACCTGGCTCATAGCAGGGCTCCGATGAGAGGGAGGGACTTACTCCAGGGACCAGCCGTCTTTTAGTTCTCCCTGTGGCCCAGTGGGGTCTCTCTCCTACCCTAAGCTACTCTAAAGCACCCTGAGGGTGAGCAGGGTTGTTGTAGGTGCTCACGGAGGCACCTGGGGGAGGGGCAGCATCTCCTATGTGCAGACGCTGCATCCGGGGAGGGGGTCCCTGCCCTAGCTGGGGCAGGTAACCAGCCTCAAAGCCTCCTTTGTCACTGGCACCCAAGGTGGGACTTAGCCTGGCTCTTATCTCTTCCCTTGAACTGCCCTTGGGTGGGAAGGGTCCCCTTCAAAGTTGTCCATGATATTCCCACGATGCCTTGGGGCACTCACCTCTGACCCTGGCCTCTACTCTCTCTCCAGCTTCTCCCCAATTCTCACCTGCAGGTAACCTCCGCAGCTTCAACATGGCAACTCCGAACCTGACCGCCCCCGGCCTCGCACCCCAGCTGGCCACCCCAAATCTGCAGCAGTTCTTTCCCCAGGCCACTAGCCAGTCTCTGCTGGGCCCCCCTCCTGTCGGAGTCCCCATTAACCCCTCCCAGCTCAATGTCTCAGGGCGGACCCCCCAGAAACAGGCCCGGACTCCCTCCTCCACCACCCCTAATCGCAAGGTAAGTGGTGGTGGGGGTGGCACGGTGGGGGGGACACCCAGGTGTCAGCCCAAGCTCCATCGTTGGCTTACCCTGGACCTTCGGACAGGTCATAGTTCCTCCTTTTGCCTCAGTTTCCTCATCTGGAGAAACTGGAGGGGGTGTTGCACTTGTCCGACATTTCCCAAAGTTCAAATATTCCTGTACACCTGGAGTGATTTTTGCCATGTGAGACTACCGGTACTGTTATTTACTTCTCTGTACGTCAGCAGTACCCTGCGTAAATAAGCTATGAGCCACCTATGTCATTTAACATGTCCGTAACCACATTTAAAAAAGGAAAAGAGGCCCAGCCGTGGCAGTGAGTGGTGCATGCTGCTACTTAGTGGGCTCAAGCCACATGGGAGGCCGAGGTTTGATCCCCAACCCACTCCAAAGAGCCAGGAGTGGTGGCCTGTGCCTCTAACCCAAGCTGCTAGGAAGGCTGAGACAAGAGGTTACAGGCCCATAGCCAGTGTGGGACATAGCAAGGCATAACAAGTAAAAAGAAACAGGTGAGGGAACCAGCAGTTAGCGTAATGGCTATGTCGCTGGACTCCCACGTAGTCGACCGTGGTTCGTGTCCCGGACCCGGTGGCTTAAAACTCACGCCGGGCGCGTGTGCGTGCGTGCCCAAGATCCTGAGAGGAGAATGGAGGAGAAGGGATTGCGGCGTGACCATCCCCCCTGGGGGGTGATTTCTCGCTTTCTGTCTCTATGTCTCTCTGCCTGTCTGGCGAGCGCACACGCCCTACAGTGAAAATCTCTCCAAAAAAAAAAAAAAAAGAAACAGGTGAAATTAATTTTATGAAAAAACTATATATGTATATATACATTTTAGCACACACACACACACACACACACTGTTTTTTTTTTTGTTTTTTTTTTTTTTTTGGAGAGATTTTCACTGTAGGGCGTGTGCGCTCGCCAGACAGGCAGAGAGACATAGAGACAGAAAGCGAGAAATCTCCCCCCGGGGGGATGGTCACGCCGCAATCCCTTCTCCTCCATTCTCTTCTTGCGATATTGGGCTCGCACGCACACACGTGCCCTGTGTATTTTTCAAGCTGCCGGGTCCAGGACTCGGACTGCGCCGTAGTAGCCACGTGGGATCCGGCCGCCTTAACCCCCCGTGCCTTCAGCTGGTCCTTACCGCAGGCCAGGTTTCCAGTGTTCAGGTGCAGCTGGCGGCTGCCTCATGGGGTAGCACGTTTTCCACAAACTCCCCACTTTTCAGTTACATCTCTTCTAGAAGGAGACATACCTGAAATTTTTAAAAATGGTCTAAACTGATTACATAAAAGCAGAAGGAAGGACTGGGGTAACAAGTGTTATAAAATCCCACGTTTACAATGTCGCCACCTAAAGGTTCCAGACCTGCAGCCCTCAGGCTCCCTGAGCTCAGGGCGGGCAGGGTGGCATTAAATCTCTCCCTGGCACGAGCAGAAAATCAAGGGCCTCGTAAAGGGCATCACCTGCCCAGAGCGGCCCACCTGCTCCTCACACACGCCACACTCTGGGGTGCATTCCAGGGCAGGGACGCAACTCCCTTTCCTGGCTGTTTCTGGGGCAGCCTACGTTTGGAGGTGAGGCATTTCAAACCCCCAGAGAGGCCCCAGCCTCCAGCCTTCCGGGCAGGCCTGG